TACAGAGTATGAATTCAACACGGAATAGAGAAGCTGGTTAAATTAATTAAGGGTAGACCGGCAAGACACACACTCATGCTCTCTCTCTGTCTGGGAGGAAGATCTGGGAGACCAGAGGCAGTATGCCTTCTCATACAGTGCCAAGACCCACATGGTACAACAAATGAATTGGGGGAAATGTCTTCACTTGAACCCTTCCAACCAAGTTAAACTCAAAGCACTTGGCTGCTTAGCCGAAAGTGAAGAAATCAGGCAACAGGTTCATTTGTCCTCTATGGGGCAACTCTGTGTAAGACCTTGGACTACTGTGAAAGCATTTTTACAGAGGAAACAAAGAGGTTCCAGATGGATGTTGTCCTTCAGTGGGCCGTGCAGCATTGAGCAGCGAGCTGCGTCTAACTGGCTCTTTGGCACGGGTGCGTTAGAAGTTCGCATGCCAAAAAGGAGAGGAATCCTAGGTCAGAGCAGGAGCTGTGCAACGATTCGGAGATGCTTGGCCTCAAGCCGTAAAGGCATGTGCTTGACAAAGACACTTCCATCCGTGGAGTGCAGCTGCCACAAGAGCTCTGGATTGGCACACTCCGGATTCACCAGGGGTAGAGCAGTTATATTCCTAGCTCAGTAATACGGAAGACCTGTGTAAGTTTTGGAGCTCCCATACTCGAGTACCACTGAGGTTGCTTTAGGAAATTTAATTCCGTTAGAGACAGCAAGGACGGCAGACAGCTTTCTTGACTTTGGTGATCCTTCTCCTTCATCACCACCACCACCATGTTCTCCTTCTCCTTGTTATTGTTATATTGTATTGAGATGCTGCCTTTTCTCCTCTTGTGAGGAGCCTAAGGTGGCTTGCCTAGCTCCATTTTTTCCCCTGTAACAACAATCCTGTGTGGTAGGTTGGCCAGACTCTGTGACTGGCTCAAAGGTACCCAGTGAGCTCTGTGGCCCAGTAGGGACTGGAACCTGGATCTCCCAGCGCCCCAGCCCCCACCTGCCCAGTCCAACGCTCTCCCAGCACCCCGTCACACCACACTGGCTCAAACCAACCAGCTTCTAGAACAAAATGGAGACAATTGCAGCCAAGGCGTGTGAGGCATCCTTCAAAAATTGTGCAGCCAGGCTCCCCAGGAGCAGGAGGCAGTCAAAAAGGGCATTCCCAACCACAGCTTTCGGCTTCCTTTCTAGCAAATTCTGGTGCACGTCTAAACGTAGCCTTTCCATGGGCAGAAATGCACCCTGCACAGCCGTTTTCGAGGCATAGACAGCAAGGTCCTTAACAAATGTTTTGATGTCACTGGATAATGGGGTGAGTCACTTACAGTTCTCCCCAGCGCTGATGGGAGTTGTAGGCCCCAAAAATGTGGAAGGCCACATGCTACCCCTCCCTGCCTTACAGGGTGCAAGTACTTTAACAGTGGTATGCGTCCCCTAATAAAGAGGTTTCAAGAAACCCAACCCGGTTGTAAGGTTGCATCTTATTATTAACCTTGCAACCCTATTATCACTGAGATTAGAACCTATTACTGTCTTATCTACCAACAACAGAAGCTGCTTCCACCCAGATTTGTAGGTCTCCACACAAACTATTTAGCTCCCAGTGTTTTTCATGGGTTAATTCTACTTTGTACAGGAGAGATGCATTGCTGTATTTGCTTTCTTAATTATACTGGTACTCTTGCTACCAAGACTGCGAATAGCAGGTTTCAGTTGTTCGATTTCTCTGCGCCATTTCCTTTTAATAGCATTAGCTGTTTAAAAGCTTGACTCCAGACTAATGAAATTACTTTATCTATCCTTTATAGCTCTTTACAGGTAGGATCACCAGTGGCCTACAGGTAAGGTCACTGGTTAGGAGGGCTCCTGGGACTTAAACCCAAGCACCGCAAGCAATAATCCACAGGTGAAACCAACTGGTTCTAGCATGGAGATTGAGTGATGGGGAAAGTATCACTTGCAGATTCATGCCTCTTACATGGCTGTTAAAAGCACGGGAGGTCTATGCAGGGAAAAGTTGACAACTCTGCATAAGTTATTCCCTCCATACCAAGTTGAAAGGTAAGGTGCTATTACACACATTTGAAAGCAAGAATAATTGCAGCTAAAAGAAAGAGATTTGCCCAAGGTCATCTTGTGAGTTTATGTCTGAATTTGCAGTTGATCTTAAGTGACGTTTTCCAGCTTCCAGCATAAAAACTCCTTCAGAGCTCTTGGGTTTTGTTCTATCCTCCCTTTAAATGGCTGTGTTGCCAAAATGAACACTGGGTTGTGATTGTGCAACCTAGAGATTCAGGTTTACGTCTTTCCTTTGCTCCCTGTATCTTCTCTAGTCTTGACATCTACCTTCCATTCCTCTGTAGAAGGTGGGAGCAATGGCAGGACTGGAATAGGAGAAGCAGCAACATGGATTTCCTACTTGACTTGCAGCCATTAAAATTCTAGCATGGATCTCCATGCGGAAACCTGCTAATTCCATTTTTTTGCTGCACTTTCTTCCTAGAATTCCATTCCGCTGGCAAGCACTGAAAGTGCGGCTTGGTTCATGCAGCGTGGTGTTCATACATGTCCTTAATCAACTTCCACCCTTGCCAAATTATTAGAATAAAAACATAAAACAATCTATTTGTAAGCACAAAGAACACAATTGGATAATTACATGCAGCCAGCGTGGATTACTTAAGGACAAACCATGCCAGACCTGATTTTCTTCCTTGAGAAAGCAACTAGTTCGGTTTGCCATTTCAGCTCAGTGGGGTAATATTAACTCCGGCAAAGCTTTTTATCAACACAATTCCACAGGGCAGTCTACATTGGTGTAGAAAACCACAGACACCCTCCAACTACAGTTAAGCCTTTTTGCAATGAGATGTTAAACACATTTACTCTGAATTGTTTTGTTGTGCAAAAGCGCTTAGACCCACAGCCTTGAATGAGTTTTTGGCTGGCAAACCAGAGAATGCCTTTGTCTCAATAGTATGTTGAGGTTCTTCTGGCCCCTGATATTAAATCTTACAGGGTCACCTATTTGCAATTTTCTCTGGCTCCCTCCCCGTGTGAGATTCCTCTCTCGTTTGTTCTGCAGTAGGCTTCAAAACAAAAACAAGCCCCTCCTTGTCAGCCTTTTGGCCAGGAGTCCGGTCCCTCCCTAGTGCCATCTGCTCCGAATCTGTCCCCTCAGAGGATTGTGAAGTACGCTCTCAGCACTAACACCGGCAGTGGGCCATCTGTTCCATCGAGGCATTGCGTGGGATGGCACCTGCCATGGTTGCGATGGTTCTCTGGATTCGGGAAGAATTAATGAGCCTCAGAAGAGGGAGGGAGGGAGGGAGGGAGAAAAACCAGGGCAGACACTCCAGTCACTGTCTGGTGCTTCCATGCTTGCTGAGGATTGTTGGTGTGAGCTAGACCAGGACTACTTACTTGCTGAAACTAAGCTGGAGCAAAGGCTCATGTCCATGGACAAGGACAAGCCTGGCCTCCCAGAGCGCACTAGCCAATCTAATGGGTTGAATGAGTGTCTTTGTGCTACAGGGGAAAAAGCATAGGAAGTCCCTGAGTTCAGTCAGGCTAGCTTAGGACAGCAGGTAGCTTGATCCTGATCCGAACCCAGAAATCTTCCCACCTACTTTAACATTTGGAATGGGATGGGCTGGATGGAGGAATCAGTTGAGTACAAAATACACCAATAAATTCAAATCGGCCCAAATCAAGAGTTCAGGAAACATGCAATCAATTCAGTATTACACAAAATGTCAACTATAGAGCAAAATTAAAATTAACAGGCCCAAAACACATTAAAAATAGACTTAATGTGTTCCCAGCATGCATCTTGCTGTTCTCCCGGAGATCACAGCAAGCAGCTGGGCGCCAATCAAGTGGGTACAGTCCTGTGAATGGCAATGATGTTCTGACTGCCAGTGTAGGTCTTGTGTCTGTCCCTGGAACTGGATCGTGTCCAGCAAGGGACCCAGCAAGTGCAGCAGAAGGGCTAGGAGAAAAGCCACAGTACAGAACTCATATGGTGCATGCTGAAGGTTTCTCATTTTAGCATCTTCAGGTGGCAAGCTCAGAAAATACCTTTTCCTATCCAAGGTACATATGTTTCACTGTCAACCCAAACAGACAGTCTCAGGCCAGGTGGACCAAAGGCTTGACTCACTAGCAAGTTGTTTTTTCAGGGGCCTGGTATTTATTCCAACTGCAGCCAGTCCCAAATTTTCATACCGTCTGCCAATTGCAGGAGATCACGGTGAACTACTCTTCTGTATCTGCAAAGGATTATTTCAGTGTTAGGAAGCTCACAAGGCCTCATTCTTCTCCATCAATAGAATGTTTGACAAAAAGGGGAACTACATGAATTGGGCAACACCTTCCCATGGTTCTAGGGAATCCCACTGCTCATTTGTTTGAAATGTTTTTATCCCACTCTTTGGCTAACAAAAGGGTCACAGGGCTGCTTACAGGAATAACGTAAGCTGTCCTCAGCCTTGTAAGCTAACATGCCTAACGCAAAAGGAAAAGAAAATGGAAGGGAAAATGCTGGCTCTATTTCTTAGCTCCAAAGTTCTGACAATGATTTAATGGGAGCATATCTGACAAGAGGAAGCGCAAAGACTTTGGCCACTAATGAGGAGAAAGGACTCGCTGGAGAAGCCCCTGATGCTGGGAATGATCGAGGGCAAAAGGAGGAGGGGATGCCAGAGGTTGAGGAGGCTGGATGGGGTCACTGGGGAGGTGGGTGCGGGGCTGGGTGGACTCTGGGGGTGGTGGAGAACAGGAGCACCTGGAGGAAAGTTGTCCATGGGGTTGCAAAGAGTCGGACACAACTTTGCGACTAAGCAACAACAAATCGACAGAAGCAAAACTATGTTCGTGTCACAGCAGAGTTGATGGCGCAATCCTGTTCTGCTCCGCTCACTCCGTTGAAGCCTGATCAATCTCCAGAACCCTTTTTTGCTATTTCCCTGCTTTACCTTCCCATCTTTTGTCCAATGCCGCCCTAGGAGCCGAACCGGTCGACTCATGGAGTTGCTGTCCACGCCGCACAGCATAGAGATCAACAACATCACCTGCGATTCGTTCCGCATCTCTTGGTCCATGGCTGTGGGAGACCTGGACAGAGTCACCCACTACTTCATTGACTTGAACAAGAAAGAGAACAAGAACTCCAACAAGTTCAAGCACCGGGTGAGCTGCTGCAACTGCGCACAGGGCCTGGTGGGGGGGGATGGGGGGGTGGGACAGGGCATGACCACCTGCCAGATGTGCAGGACTGCAGCTGCTGCCATCTGTAGGCAGCACGGCGTCGCGATTTCTGCATTTCAAACCACAGGTGTATTGGGCAACAAGCAGGTCTCCTGCTTGGAAGGTGCCCAGCCATTAACTACGTTTGCTGGGGAGGACAGGAGTTGGAATGCAGCACATCTGCAAGGCATCTGGTTGGGGGAAGGGGGTTCAGGCGTGTACTGAATTAACAGTCATGCTTTTTCTCCTGACAAAAATTTTTAGCACCTTCACAAAACTGTAACTCCTAGGACTCTTCAGAGGGGAAACCTTGAAAATTGAATTGATACAGGACTTACAGATTTGCAGCATAAATAAGGCTCTCTTTGTAGAAAACTGTCAATGACGAAACCAGGTCAACCTTTGAGATTCTGAAAGCGTCAGCTTTCAAATCTGGGTTCCAAAGAAGCACGTTCTCATTGACCCTTCAAGTTCCATTGTAGCTGAAGAGAGAAAACCTTTTTCCTCTACCCAGAACTTGTGGTCCAATCGTATAGGTAGTGCCTTTAGATGTTTAGACAGAAAACATCCTATGCATGTTTAGAAAGAAAAAAGTCTCTCTTGTGGCTGGCTGGGGGATGTGGGAATTGTAGTGTTTTCCTGTCTAAACATGCACAAGATTGTGCTTTTGCTCCATATCACCTGTCTGTCACATAGCCTTCCCTCAGATATGTTAGACTACAACCCCCATTATCCACAGCAAGCATGGCCCAATGGATTCTTCCTATTATAAAATAGGATAAAGGCCGAGTATCCGCAAAAGCAATTCCAAGAGATCCCTTGTCGCCTCCCTTACAACAAGAGATCAGTTTGGGAAAGGAATCTTTAAACAGCACCTTTCTTAAAATGGTGAAGTGAATTACTTGCATCTTTCTCCCTTGAACTGGAGTCACTAATTTGGATGCTGTTTAAGAGGGTTGGTTACTATGGCAATGCTATTTAATGTTTAACATTATTTTTCTCTCTCTCTCCTTCAGTTAGGTTTTCTTCTCTCTCTCATTTTTTTTGGCCTGTCTCCTGACGCTTCAGCATTTGCCGTTGCCACAGAAACGGCACTCCAATGCCGAGCCAATGCTGTGGCCTGCTGAGGCGGTGATGTTCTCTTTTAAAAACAAAAGATGCTTCAAGCTGACTCCTTGCACGTTTCCCTGGTCCAGTCACAGCAAAATAGCATCCCTCAGTTTAGGCCAAGGACTCTCTGAGCAGCTCACGTGACTAAGCGCTCCTTTGCACCTCCATATTAAAATCTCTCTCTTGCACGTCTGAGAGATGGCCAGCCTAAAACCCTTGCCTATATTTGCATTCCATTTTTTCCCATTGTAGGGAACTCAAGGTGACTTACATAATTGTCCACTCCATTTTATCCTCACAACAACCCTGTGAGGGAGAATAAACTGAAAGTCAGTGACTACCCATAGTCACCCAGTGGGTGCTTGAACCCAGATCTTCTTAGTCTCAGTCCAGTACTCTCACTACTGTGCCACATTGCCTTTCTGTCTAAACACGCACAGGATTGTACCTTTGGTCCATATTACCTATAACCAGATCATAACATAGTCCAAACCTTAATATAGCCTTCCCAAGCCTGTTGCCCTCAAATGTATTGGACTACAACTCCCCTTATCCTCAGCTCACATGGCTCAAAGGACATGGTGCTTCCAAGCAAGGTATTTTTCCTGAGATTGACTGCCTTGCCATGAAATTTTTCCGGAGCTGGGCCCAGGCCAAGTTGCCTTCTCCTAGGGACACTCCCATGTTCCCCATTGCTTCTTCCATCTCTCTTTCTCCCTACAAGAAGATTGGTTAAGGTTGCAAAGATGGCAAGAAGCCACAGCGAATTGATGGTTCTTGTTATGCCTGCAATGCATCCAGCAGATGCTCAGGCATAACATAGGCTGTTCATCCTCTCCATCCCCGCTTCCTCCCCATCAATCCTCCTGCAGGTAATCCAGGGTACCACGCATAAGAACTGTCTTCCCCTGCCATGACTGCAAGCCCGCTTCAGCTTGTTGTGGCTTTTTCCTTCCTTTCGGCATTCTGGGTTTGAAAATGGCAAAGTCAGTTTCACGCAGTCAGTTTTGCCGTCACAGACTGCTGCTTCAAAGTGCCCCCTCCCCCTTTAGAGGTGCTGTCGGCGGCTGCCAAACTCTTCCGTGTTTTTGCATACACAATGCGTGCAAAGTGAGTTTTGCTAAAAAGAAAAACGCAGCCCCTGTACAGGTGTGCAGTGGTGGGAGTGCCACGGTGTAACGCGAGGGTGGTCCCTGTTCTCAGTGTGCGCCAAACTTGCATACTAACCCAAAGACAGTCCAGGCGGTTTTATCTTCCCTTTCTCCTGACAGCTGTGGAATGGCAAGCGGTGAAGTGCCGTTTATGTTCCCATCAAAAAAACAAACGCCACATTCCCTTTTGCCACTCCAAAATCTGCTTTCAGGGGGTGGGGGCAAAGTTCTGAGACCAGCCAAGCAGCCTTTTCTGTGGGACAAGAGAAGGGGCACGTTTGCACTTTCCTGAACAGCTCTAGACTCATGAGACGTGCAAAATGTCCATCACTCTGAGCACTGTCAGGAGTGAGTGAGTGAGTGAGTGAGTGTGTGTGTGTGTGTGTGTACGTGGAATCTTGCAGTGAAGGGGATGAAAACTGCACCATCCTCGTTTTGCAGGTAAAGATGATTCATGTTCTTGCTTTCCCTTGACAACTTGCCTTTTGTCAGATGTTAAGGGAAAACAAAGGAAAGGACTGTTTGAACCTTCTTTGGGTCCGTGTTCAAGATTGATACCTGCTGCTGTCCAACAACAGGTACAGCCACTGACGTTGCCAAGCTAGGGCCCCACTTTCTACACTCATGCAAGAGTGTGTGTGTGTGTGTGTGTGTGTGTAACTGCACAAGTTCAACTAGTTTACAGAAGGAAGAAAATTAAGCACATTGTTTAACTCTCCCCGTTATAAACAGCTCTTCCAAAGTGCCACTGTCCAGTAGTTGGTGTCAAAGGGACATCATGAAAACCAGCTGTCACCGCTGGCAGCAAGGGAGTTTTGCCGCTCCTGCCAAGCAGCTCAGTTGCCAATTCCTGGTACCCACAACAGGGGGGGCCACCCAGGTTTGAGTGGCAATCCATCATGGGTAACCACCTAATGTCGGTTGTCCAGTTGTGTGAAGTTGGCGTTTTTTGCCTGGTAGCACAAAAAGTCATCTCTCAGGAAGTACCTTCTAATAATAGATAGCTTCAGACATAAACAGAAGATAGATTAGAAGCTTTTGTAAACTGTCTTGAGATTTCATTGAAATACTAGGTGGTATATAAATAAATTGTTGGTAAATCACTGGCTGATTTTCAGTAGCTTTGCCAGAATTTCTGATCCTACCTTGTCTCAACAACGAAAGGGTTAGTTTTTTCCTCCCCCTTCTACATTAGCTGTTAAATAATTAGATGAATGATTGTAAGCCCCGTGGTGTATCTATTTATATAGCTGTACTTCAATATGGAGACCATCCCAGTGCATTTGTAGGTAAGGTGCTCTGTTTCAGGACACTGAGCCACCCTTTTGCATTTGGCCCACTCAGCCAACCATTTTTCCAGCACCAGCTTCCAGCAGGGGGATCTCACCACTCTGCTCATAAAAAACCAACAAACAAGATCCAGAGTAGATCCCAGAAGTTTGTATGAGCCAACCAAGCTGCTGCTGTTGTAACAGATCCGGATGAGCCGTTGATATATTTGGAACAATGGTGCAAAGGGTTCCATGCATTTGGAGAGGCCCACCCACCCACCTTCCAGAGCCACTGTTCTTTTTTGTTGTGCCTGAAAAAGGAGGGTTCCCTTTGGCAGAGCTCAATGGAGCCACCGCTGCCAGCATTCCCAGAATTAGAAGAACCACACCATTCACACTGACGCTCTTCAGGATTATTTGCTCAGGTCTAGTGGATTGTGAATGGAGGCACTGGGACTGTGAAGGAGGCATCAGAGCTTCTGCACGAGCAGAGCAGTGCAGAGGGGAAGGCAGGCCGAGGCTTTGGCTGGAGCATGACTTCCAGCACGGATTTTCTCCAGCTGGGTCTCCTGTTCGACCGTCTGGAGTTCATCAGAAAGCCACGGCCCTTCACTCTGCCTGCACCTGTGTGATGGCTGTCCAGCTTTTGTGCGTGTCTCCAAGGGCAGGAAGCACTTGGGAGAGTATTCGGGGGTATTTGGGCCCATCCTGCCTCTTGCCTTCTGCTGTCTGGGCTCCGTCTTCTCAGAAACTGAATTCGGCTCCTGCTTTGGTCACTCCATAGGACTTTTGATTGGTTAATTCTGGGCAGGTGCACAAGTTCAGCCTTTGCCTAGCAAATCTATACCAGGGCCCATATCCAAGTAAATTGCTGACGAGGCTTGACTCTTTTCTTTGAGCAGGACGTCCCTACCAAGCTGGTGGCCAAGGCCGTTGCACTGCCCATGACGGTGAGGGGGCACTGGTTTCTGAGCCCCAGGACAGAGTACAGTGTGGCTGTGCAGACAGCCGTGAAGCAGAGCGACGGGGAGTACCTCGTGTCCGGATGGAGCGAGACAGTCGAATTCTGCACAGGAGGTGAGTGTGCTGCTGACGTCTTGCAGGCGAAAGCTGCCCATCGATGGCCTGACTACAGCCATCCCCTGTGTAGCCCATGGGACACAATTCACAGGGAAGGTCTCTGGTGTTTGTCCGGCTGCAATGCTGTTCAAGAATAGGAAGACTTTGCTTTTCTGCTGGTGAAGATGTAAGGGAAAGAGTGCAAGAGGATCTTACTCAGTCACTGTCCAATAAAAAAAAGATGCTTCTACTGTTTTAGGTAGAGGAGTGCAAAGCTAACAGAATAACTCAGGCTTGCACCTTTCATGTGCACTGGATCATGGCTAGGTATCATGGGAGCCCTGGTCTAAAACATCTGGAGGACGTCAGGATAGGAGAAGGCAAGGATCCCTGACAAAGCACTAGAATTAAAATAGATCCATTCATATAAATGCAATTAAACATATGCTATAAATGTTCACTTTTAGTTAAGGGTGCAGTACTAGTGCCCTCACAGCAGGTGTTCTTAAGTCTCCAGACTCGAAGGCACAAGGTGTGTTGGTGGCAAACCCGCTGCTGCATCTCACACCTTGCATTTTCACTTGCCTGGATTTAGGATGCCGAGGGAGAAGGCAGGAGGCTGGTGCCAGTTGGAACCCCCACAAAGCCACCTCCCTGCTCAACCTCTGGCACGCCACTTCCTTCCCCTCCAAGGCCCACTTCCAAACTAGGAGTGGGCAGCCAGGTTTGTTTTTCTGCACCCGCTGCAGGATGGCAGGCAGGGCTTGATCTTTGGAGTCTGAGCACAGAAATTGGAGGACTCCGAGAAAACCTTCTCCAGGAAAGTTGGGAAGCCAGAGGATTGTGCCCTAAATAAACACATTAGAATACTGCAGCCAAATTTTCAATGGGCAGTTGCTCTCCCTCATTCACAGAATTTTGCAGGATGCAGGCTTCTCATTATAGCCTTCCTGTGTTTGCTCCCTGCTGCATCTTTCATCGCCTTGTATAGGGAAGTAAAGATGGAACAGAGGCACAAGCCTTTGGCCAGGCAGTGCTAGGAGCCCTCCATCTAGAACAGCCTCACACCAATGGTATTATATTCCAGCTATGCTGCCGTGAGCCGTACCTCTTGAGTGCTCTGAGGGGGAAGGCACGACAGGTTGAATATCCCTTTGTGGCCACCCTTTCCCAGTGCCGGGGACAGGGCCTTTCCCTGTCGCAGTGTCCTCGCTTTGGAATGCCCCCTTTATGGGGCATGCCTGATGCCAACTGCATTTCCATGGTGAGACTAAGGGTTCTGCCCTCCATCTGGAAGCACCCCAAACGCCTCCTGGCTGTTCAGACTCTCCGTTGACCTGCATACTCTTGCTGTGTCCAAAAGCACTTGTGCAATCAAATGCAGCAGCCCAACCTGCACATAAAAGAACGGGCATGTGTGTGATTGTTGGAGAGTTTCAACGCAAGAAATGAGGGAGATGAAAGCCACTTGTTTGGACTGGCTAAAAGGCAGGGCCTGGGCTGATGAGAATTGGAACGAGCTGAGGGGTACTGGGAGGTGGTAAATCCAGCTTTCCTGATGGAGCAAGAAGTGCTGAGTAGGAGGCAAAGGGTGTGCCAGCCCAGCACTCCCAGAGGGGGAGGTGACAGGTAGGGAGAGCCGGCTGGAGGCACAGGGGGAAGAGGCACATGCCAGGTACAGTGAGAGGAAGGGGGTGTCGGGGGGTGGAAGGGGCAGTGGGAATGGATGTGCAGCAGGCAGGCAGAGGTGGGAGACGGGAGAGCTGCACTACAAAGCCCATGTCCCCTTTATTGTCCCCGGCAGACTATGCGAAGGAGCATCTGGCTCAGCTGCAGGAGAAGGCCGAGCTTATAGCAGGGCGAATGCTTCGGTTCTCCGTCTTCTATCGGAATCACACCAAGGAATACTTCCAGCATGCCAGGTAAGGGCCTTCAACCCCACAATGGTCATGGTGACCAGTGAGTGAGGAGTGGCCAGTTCGGCTGCAGACAAGGGCTGGGGGCCCCACACTTCTGATCCGTGACACAAATGCTGCTCTGGTCTGGGATCAGAGCTCAGAGGAAGTCGGCATCACCTCAGAAAGGACCCAAGGTCCAGCAGTAACTGCCACCTTCTCATAGGCTTTGTTTTCTCCACCAGAGGTGGCAATACAGGGCAGGTACCCATATTCCCCATCGTTCCTCTTTGGCTCCGTAGGCACCCAGTACAGCACATTTTTATCTCCCCCCTCCTCCTGCAAACTTGGGGCTGGCATACCTGCCACCTCCCTCCCCCCACCCCCAACCACCACTCCAGCCTCCAAAGTATCTTCACAAGGACCCCATGAAGTATGTTAGGCTGACAAACAGGAATTGGCCTCAAATCAAATCGGAGCTGAATGAAGAGTCACCCCTGGGCACACCAATCCCACTCGAAGTCTCTAATCCTGGCACCATGCTCTCTCTCAACACCATCCCTTTGTTTTATTCTGTTTAATCCTGCCTTTCCCCCAAAGCATTCAGGCACGGCATGTAATTCTTTGCCCCTTTCATTTTCCCCTCAAAACCACCTGGGGGAACCAGGAAAGACTGGCCCGAGGTCCCCCACCCAGCTTCCGGGCTGAGGGGGGATCGGCACCCAGGACTCCCAAGCCCTGGTTGAACTCCCTGCGGGCCTCCCTCCTCCCTCACCACCTCTTCCTCCTCCTCGAGCTAGGCCGGAGGTCAGAAATACCAGTGCCCGGGGGTCAGGCGGAGCTCCCTCTGCTCTGGCAAGGGTGCCTGCCTCCCCGCTCTCTTTGGCCCCCGGGACACGTGGTGAACCCACCTCCACCCGGAGCACGGGCTCCGCCCCGCCCCGCTGCCTGACCGCCCGTGTCTCCCTCCTGTCCAGAATGCACTGCGGGAACAGCATGAAGCCGTACCTGAAGGACAACAGCGGCAGCCACGGGTCGCCCACCAGCGGCATGCTGCACGGCATCTTCTTCAGCTGCAACACCGAGTTCAACACGGGCCAGCCCCCGCAGGACTCACCCTATGGCCGCTACCGCTTCCAGGTCCCTGCCCAGCGCCTCTTCGGCCCCAACACCAGCCTCTACTTCGCGGACTTCTACTGCATGTACACCGCCTATCACTACGTCATCCTGGTGCTGGCGCCCAAAGGCTCTTCCGGAGACCACTTCTGCCAGGAGCGCTTGCCACAGTTGGACATCTCCTGCAACAAGTTCCTGACCTGCTGCATGGAGGACGGCGAGCTCGTCTACCGCCATGCCCAGGACGTCATCCTGGAGATCATCTACACCGAGCCCGTCGACCTCAGCTTGGGCGTCTTGGGCGAGATCAGCGGCCACCAGCTCATGAGCCTCTCCACCGCCAATGCCAAGAAGGATCCGAGCTGCAAGACGTGCAACATCAGTGTGGGGCGCTAGAGACTGGGGGAGGGGAGGGGAAAGGAGGGGAGGGGAGGGGAGGGGAAAGGAGGGGAGTGGTGTGCAACATGGATGCCAGAGCGCTCTGTGGAGAAGCCCTTGGCGATGGAACGGCCATCTAGGAATGGCCCCCAGTTAGGGTCTGGGAGAATCAGACCCTTCCGTGCAGCCCACCGAACCAGCATCCATTGGGCTCTCGTCCACGTCTCCATGGCCAGCGCAAGTAAGACCCCGAGCGGCAAGAAACCCATCTGGGCAGCATGGCTTGGCTTGCTCCTCTGGCAAGAGAAACAGCCGCGTGCCAGAGGGTGCAGGGGTCCAGCCCTCGCTCTCCTGGGGTCTCTTTACAAGAAGTCAGGCCACTTCTTTTCTATTCCCTCGCCCCATTCAAACCGAAGCGGACATTTCACTTTGTGCACACACAGCAAGTCACCTGGCCAGTGGAATAAGCGCTCCCACTTCCTGGACAGGACATCCCACATGGAACATTTTCTGCTTCTGTTCTGCTGTTTTCTTGGCCACCTTTTTATGTCAGGGGTGCAAATTTGCCCCACCCCCAGCATTATGGCCAATCTTTCTCCCCTACCTTTTATAAATGGTTGCCCAGCTTTTGTGCAGTTTTCCTTAAGTTTAAATTGCCTCTCATTCATGCTCGGTCCTGACAGTAAGAGCTTTAAGCTGAACTATGTTGCTGTATTCGATATTTTGCTCCCATCCCCTTTGCCTTTGGCCCCATCATGGAATCATGGAAGAGTAGAGTTGAAAGGGGCCAAGAAGGCCATCGGGTCTGACCCCCTGCTGTTGCAGGACACCACGTTACACCATCTCACTCAGAGGGCTGCCCAGTTTCTCCTTGAAGGCCTCCAGTGTGGGAGAGCCCCCCACCTCTCCAGGCAGCCGGTCCCACTGCCGTATTTCTCTGGCAGTGCAGAGCCTTTTCCTGATGTCCACCCTGAATCTGGGTTGTCACAACTTGAATTGATTATTCCGTGTCCTACACTCTGGCATCAGCAAGAAGAGATCTTGACCTTCCTCTTTGTGGCAGCTCTTGAGGCTCTTATAGAGGGATTATCATGTCCCCCTCAGTCTTCTCTTCTCAAGGCTGAACATGCCCAGTTCTCTCAATCCCTCCTCACCAAATGATCCATGGTGCAATAAAAATGATCTATGGTGTTTCCAAACCCTGGACCATTTTTGTTGCCCTCCTCTGAACCCTCTCTAATCTTTCTGCATCTTTCTGAAATCTTGGTGCCCAGGACTGCACACAGCATTCCAGGTGAGGTCTGACTAATGAGGAGTATAGAGGAACGACGACTTCTTGTGATTTGGAAATAACACTTCTGTTAACGCATCCCAAAATAACATTTGCCCTTTTGGCGGCTGATCGCATTGTTGGCTCCTGTTTAGCCTATTGTCCACAATTACTCCAAGATCTTTTCCTTTTGCAGTTCTCTTGAGCCATGTACTCCCCATCTTGTATCAATGCAGTTGGTTCCTTTTTCCTAGGAGGAGGACTTGGCACTTCTCCTTATGGAATGTCATTCTTTCCTTTCAGCTCAGTGTTCAAGCTTATCAAGATTGGCCTGGATCTTAATTCTGTCTTCTAGGGTGTTTGCTATTCCACCCAGTTTTGTATTGTCTGCAAATTTTATCATCTTTCCTTGTACTTCCTCATCTAGATCATTAATAAAGATGTTGAAGAGCACTGGACTGAACCCTGTGGCACCCCACTAGTTACCGCCATCCAATTTGAGAAGGTGCCATTGATGAGCACTCTTTGGGTCCAATTTAGCAGCCAATTTTGGATGCACCCAATAGTTTTCCATCTAGTCCAGTTTTTGCTAATTTGCTTATCAGGTTATGTCCACAGTGTTCCCTTTGTCATTTGAGAGGATACCCAGTCAAAAAATGAGATTAAATTATTACTATTTTTGATAAATCCATGCTGGCTTCTATTAATCACTGCATTTTCTTGCTTGCAGATGGATTTTTTAATAATTTGCTCCAGAATTTTTTAAAATAATTTGCCCTTGGCCCTGCCCACTGTTGGATTGTTGCCCTCCAGCAGCATCTCCAAAATGGAATTCGGCTCTCGGGCCGAAAACGGTTCTTCGGCCTGCTTCACACTGCCCCGCCGAGCTGGCCCAGGGATCAAGTCAGAGAAAGCAGGCAACTTGCAGACTCTTTCCCCCTTCGGGTCCTCAGGTCGGGACACCCGTTTCTTCACACTCTTGGCTTATTTGGGGCCAGTGAAGGGGGACGGGGCATGACAGCTCCAACAGGTTTGTTGGCAGTCAAGAGGAGGTCTGGAATGTGCCTGGGTGTTGCCTGCACCCAGCCCGTCTCCTCTGCCTGTCAGGCCCTGCCTGGCAGCTCCGCTTGCTTGGGCTGGCATCCAGTTTGCCCACATTTGCCGAGGCTGCCTGTCCCCACAAGAATGCCTTTGGAGGGCCACGCAGGCCCCTCCGTTTTAGCCAAGGGCAGCCGCAGAGGCTGTGAAGTCAGGAAGGGGACAGGCACCCCCACACACGACCCCGCCTCCAAGGCTGCTTTTGCCAGGCGCCTGCCACTTAACGGCCAGCACCGCTCCAGGGGATAGTGACTTAACTGAGGCTGTGCAGCAAGTCAGTGGCACGGCCAAGATCAGATGTGGGCCTCTTGGATCCAGGGCAAAAGGTCCAAAGCCTGCAGCGGCTCAGGAGAGGCTAGGAGGGACGGGGAAAAGTGGGCCGCACGGCTCTGCCCAGAAGGCGTGAGGGCAGCCGCTCCCCGCTCTGTTCCGTCTCAACCTGCCCATTACTTCACTCAGCTCTGCTGAGACTGGCTAGACCTGTCTTGGCAGTCGCCAACGCTCCCCGCCCCTCTTCTCTGCGCTCCAGACTTGGCCGCCTCTTTCATTATAAGCAGCTTTTGTCTGCTTGAACTGTCTTGTGCTGCGTGTGAAAATTTTACCTAACAGAAGGCACTGACTGTACCCGGCGCCATTTTTACACGGGGCAAGGGGTGCAGAGAGGGTTCCGGTGTCCCCTTAGCAGCAAAACCAAGGCGCTTCTCCTAGTTGCAGCTCGGGGAGGGGGGGTCCCAGCTTTCCCTGCACAATGAGTGCAACTTGCCATTCTTGTTGGTCTTCAGACAGTGGCCCTAGGAAGAGTGGGATCCCTTGGCCCAAAAATCCACAACAGTGGACAAGTTCCTCAGAAAAAGTCCTTGCCCAGGGCAGTCCTCCTTTCCCTGCCCTGCACATCTGTAAGAGTGCCAGGTGGGCAAGACCCTACAGACTTCACAGGGCTCTAGACCGCTGTGCTCAGGTTTGCCGTAGCGCCCAGGCACTTGGGATTTCTCAAGCGAAAACACAGCCGTTGCCTCTGCAGACACATTTTTGCATTAAGGATCCCCAGAGGCTGGAAATCCCAAGAACAGGGAGTCCATGACTTGCCCAAGGTTCACAGGCAAGCAGCAACTCGAATGGGGCTCTCCCTTGGCCAACTCCAGCAGTCTGTCCACTCTCCAACATTAGCCATCACTCCCCTACCATTGGCTGGAAGAAGCAATTTTGGAACGGAGCACCAACCCCAGATAATTTCAGAAGCAAGCAGTCCCTCTGGAGACAGGCCAGGATGGGCTGCATTTGGGATAAGAAGCATTCCCTGGGCTTTTGAACACAGGAACATCCAGAAAACTGGGATAACGTCTGCAAGACCACATAACCCTCTGTGGAATGATGAGGCAAACAGAATTACCTTTTGCAGACACAGAAGCCCAGTGGCCTGGGGAAGGGTGCTACAGTCCCCCGTTAGGCTATGTATATGATTTTGCAGATACTCATCCATCATGGTTCATTGGCTTGAATCCCATCAGCCCCAACCAGCTTGGCCAGTCACTAGGCTAGCTGGGGAGGATGGGAGCTGCAGTCCAAGCACATCTTCCTGGTTGGGGATGGCTGTTTTCATTCTTGCCCCCCTTCTTCTTGGCTGTGCAATACCAAAGACATCCAGGATACAGTCCACCTCCTCTGTACGATCTCTTTTCCTTTCCAGGTAATTTCACTGCAAGTCTATGAACAGACCTAGTGGATTGTACCCTAAGCATGGCTCCAGCAGCCCTTTGTTAAGTTAGTGGCCTATTCAAAGAAATGTGTATTAGCTGCTATAAAAAGGCGTCTCCATTTTGAGAAAGGGAGAGGTTAGCTTTCCGGGCCATGTTCACTCATGTTTTTTATTCGCAGCAGCATTTTGAAAAACGCAAGTGTCCAGGTATTTGGGTACAGCCAGTTATCGTCGTGTTTGCTGTGTGCTGTAGCAGTATCGTGTCGTAAATGCTGCTAGCATGGAGTAATAAGATCCCCAGCTTCTCTCTACTGGCTTTCCATTTCCCTCCCCTCCGCCTTCCCTGTCGCACTGCATATTGCAAACTTGTTGGCTGAAAAAGTGCCACTTGTTCCCACCTGGGAATGCTGTTGCGTGTCCTTCAAGGCTGTTGGTAGGCGAGTTCAGTGGTGTCTCTGGTTCTTCCCAGCTTTGTAAAAGTATGCTAAGCAACTCGGATTGGGAGAGATGTTCCAGATGCATAAAAAGCTTTCTCTAACAGGAATGTTTAGAAAATTATTTCAAGAGGAGTTGTGGGATTTCCACCCTCCTATCTCAGCACAAAGGGGCCTCTCCCATTTAATTCCCTGTGTGAAACAGTGTGGAACGAACGCATTTAACTCACAAGCAGGCTTAGTGGGGCATTAGAAAGTCTGTCTGAGAGATGGGCCAGGGTTACTGTAAAGTGTGAACACAGAGAGTGCTGCAGAAAGCAAAGGGGGCTAAAACTTGCGACTTTTCCTGAACAGAGAGGCTGGGAAGGGTGTGAAGTCTAGTCTTAAGCTGCTCGTGTGTTAAAGCTATTTCTGGACTAAATTCTAGCCTTCCTCCAAGTAAACTCTCCTGCACCTTTGAAAGTGATCAACAGTCCAGTTCCGCACATGCCCACTAAGACATGCATCCAGTTGAGTTCAGTGGCTTGTACTCCCAGCTGAGTGGGCATAGGATCGCTGCTTAAATAAGGAAATAATTGTTGATCCACCATCAGGTCTCTTAATATATTAAAGTTTTAGGAAGGCGGGGCAGGAGAACTGGGGAAATCATTTCTATAAAAACATCAGTTCTAAAAATTAATACAGGAAGCCTGCATAACTGCACTGAGAGGATATTGGTGAAATTAATTGGTTAATGAAGAATAATAGACTGAATCATGCTGATGCTGACGAAAAAAATGGATGGGTGGTTTTCAGAAGAATTCTAACTGTAGGGGGAACTCTCAGTCAGAGGAAGCAACCTGATATACCTCATCAGACTGAATTGGGTACAAACAACATGAAAACTACACTTAAGTGGCCAAACATGGGTTGGTATAGGAACATGGACTTCTTGTCTGGACCCAGCTGCACGAACAACCACAAATCATCCATGAGAACTCATGGCTGGTTGTTGGGCTGTGGAGCATGAACTGTTCACCATGGTTTGCTATCTCAGCTGGGTTCAGACACTTCAACAGCAACCCTGCTCATGCATGTGGACCATGGAGTTTGCCCTTCTAGTCTACTACTATGATGTGATGCTGGGAA